CAGCGTTTGATTCGAAACCAGAAAGGCTAAGATAAGCTCTTTAAATTGGGGCATTTGTTTGCATTTCTTAGAAATTGAAAGAAAGTATAGTGGAACTTCAGAGACTTTAAAATTGAAGACAACAAGTATTCTTTGGTTTCTTGGGTAAGAAATGAATTAACTATAGTTCGTCTACATTTGAAGTCCTATCCATTTTTTGTCCGTCTAAAGACAACTTTTAAATAATCGATAAGTTTCTTAAAGCATCAAATGTAATTTATCAATTATAGTTCTATTACAATTCCACAATATCTTAATTAATTTATCCATCCACTTCTTAAATAGCTCCATCAAAATAAATGCATTATAATAAATCATATTCTGTAAAAATTTAAATCATATTATTTTTAAGCTAAGTTTAAGGCCTATTTCTTTTTTGTTCGCCTCAAAACAACCTTAAAATAATCATAAAGTTCCTAAAGCATCAAATCTCATTCATAAAAATATAGTTATATTGCAATTCCACAATATCTTCATTGATTTATCCATCCACTTCTTAATTAGCTCCATCAAAATAAATTTATTATAATAAATCATATTCTGTAAAAATTTAAATCATATTCTTTTCAGCTTGTTTATCTGTAATTTCAATTACCTTTAAGATAGTACAACTTAAATAGATAAAATAAAAAAGCCTTTTCATGCGCTTGGCAATCAATGGCAGGCTACAAATGAATATATCTATTCAATAAAAGACAGTTTTGAAAGTTCGAATGCCAACATAAGCTGCAGTATATGTATGTATAAGTCATTGTTGATTTTTAATGGCTTCAGTATACTTAATTGTTCGACTTGATGGATTTCATTTTCTATTCAATCGAATGGCATTTTTCTACTCATTAGAGAGACGCCTAAATGCGGACAACAAATTCCTTATGCGGCTCATCAATTCACATATGTATGTATGTTTGTATGTATGTATGTGGGAATATTGTAAATAAGTCATAGTTGGCTGCTGCTTCACTTGGCGGATTGTAGTCGTAGGAGTATGAAAAGGAAAAAAAGCAAATAACAAAAAAAAATAGAGAAATTCATCAAAGAAATTATTAGAAAAGTTTTGCCGCTACCGTCGTCGTCGTCGCCGCCGTCATTGCTGAGGGGTTGTGCCCTTAACTATAAGACGGGGGCAAACAGGATGCGATCAGACATAGGGGTCCCTCCCCTCAGTGCTTCCCGTACGCCCACCAACAACAACACCAACACCATCACATCAATAACGTCAAACACGTCGAACGCGACGAAACAGATGAACAAACTTTGCCAAACAACAGAGGCCAACTTATTTATAAAAACGAACGCAACGTAATGAAATTCTGTGCATATTCTGACGCACACACACACACCCATCCACCCATACCCACACACACACACACACACCTACACACATATACGTGTATATATATATATATATATATATATATATATAGAAAGAGACAAGCCAGGCCATTGCTTGGTTTTTATGCATAACTGTAAGTTCGTTTTCTGCGATTGTCTTTTTGCAGTGTATGGGAGTGTGTGTGTGTGAGTGTGTGTGTGAATAGTTCGTCGAGGCGCGCGACGCGTACGTGATGCTCATATTTTCATAGATTCAATAATTTATAAATTTGATGCTCATATACTGCCGCACACATCGGCCAACTGAATGCCAGCGAGTAAGTACATTGATCTGCGCTGATTTGCCCCGCCAAGTTCAACTTCTTTGGGGTCGCAGGATTGGACATGTACGAGCATGTATGTACGAGTATGTGGGTGTGTGCAAGTGGTTCTGGATGCGCGAGCGCGCGTGTGTGTGTATGTGTGGCTCAATTGTTAATTAAGGCCGAGCATCTCTTTTCAACTAACTCCGGGAGAACAGAACTATAGCTTGCTTTGCTTTCTGCTTTGACTGTCTTATACCTTTTCCCCAATCCGGCCTCTTTCTAAACTGCACATTCTTTTTTGTCTTGCCTTTTTCGAGACTCTAGAGAGCCTGTTTTCGCGGTTTAATGGAGCTCTGATTATATCCGAGATAAATGCGTGCATATACATAGATAATCGGCTGGACAGAGATTAAGTTTTCTAAATATCACTATTTTATTGCATAATATAATAACTTTTTGAATGTGAGGAGTGAACAAAGGCAGATCTCCATCGAGCCACCATTTTGGTTAGAAATAAAACACGACTCTATTGAATCATGAATCTAGTTTAGTATCCAATAATAGTATAACCGATGGGTAATCACTGTGACATATTTAATGTGAAATATTTAATGACAAAGCTTCCCAGAATACAGAGCAATGGTTGAACGAATAAAGTCCTTTGAGAATCAGACCATGGCTTGTAGAATACTATTGAGAAGACGCCTCTTCAACTCATTGCTTTCTTCTTGACTTTAAGCGAAGCTCTCAGCACTTAACTTCTATGGGTTAAGAAATTCGTGTGAATTATATATTGTCTTAATATTTTGTCTCTTGGTGAGGCCCCACTTTTTGAAGGTCTTACCAACCTACACGTTTGATTGGCATTACTTACGAATAAATTGTGGAATAAAAAGCCTGCAGTCAATTTTATTTTGAAAGCAGGAAATATCATCCGAATTGTAATATAAGATGAACCATTTAGAAAATCAAGTGATTACTTAATTTGAACTTCAGTTTTTCATACTAGATTAATACTCGTAGGCGAGTTTTCGGACAAATGCGAGTGGGCCAAGCAGAAATGTAATTTAAGTAGAAATCAAATTAATGGAGAACCTCTTACTTTGTTGTAGGCAGATCACAGGCCGCATATTCCGATTAACTTTTGTTTTATTAGTAATACTATTGAGCTACATGATATCCAGCCAGCAATCCTTCTACCCACCCAAAAAAAAATATAATAATAATAAATAAATAAATAAAAAAAACTTTAAAATATCGGCAAATTGTTTGGGGTCTGCATCAACCATTTCCTCACTGTTGTCAAGTGCCTACAAAGGGGCACAAACCTCCGGTCCTCACAGCCTACATGTGTGTGTCACACACACAACACACACACACACCCACACCCACACACGATTGCATGAATAAAATACAACACGCAACTCGTTGGGAGCAGGCGGCTTGTTGGGTCCAAAGTGGCGGGAACTAGCGGGGCGATCCCATTTTATGTGTACGAGTATGTTGGAGCGCGACTCGTCGTCGACACTTTCAGTTTTTTAACTCAATTTTCAATAAAAACAGTACACAAAACTTTTTTCTGTGCTGTTAACTTAATTTTGCTGCCGCTGCGCAGCTCGACGCTAAAAGCATTTCATTGTTGTCCAACTCTTTTTGTTGTTGTTGCTGCTACTGCTGCTGCTGCTCTGGCTGTTGCTGAAGCTGTTGGCGTTGCAAGTGTTGTGGGCGTGGCACAGCACCCGAAAAACCGAGCAACGCAGTTTTTACACGCACTGCAAGATTTTACTTACCAATACGAATCAACGCAAACACAGAGCGGGTGCCAGGAGAGATGGCGGGGTCAGGCATCAGGGATCGGGCGGGCAATATGCTTCGAAACAGAGTTGGTGTCAAATGTATGGCATCGACGGTTAAAAGCCAAATTTGACAAACTTGCTGACAAACACAACAATGATGAAGAAATTAAGATCTAAAATAGTAATTATACATGCGAGTATATAAATTTCTGTAAAATACTTACACCCAAATGTTCAAGAGTTTGCCAAAAAGTCTTAGGGTCTAGTGTATGTAATAAGCAGGGCGTGTCAGACAGACCCCTTTAATCAAAACCTTAGACGCGTTGGTTCTTTTGAAATGTATTCCATATTAGCTAAATAAGTATTAAGTAATACATAGAATAGGGAAGAAAAATGTAAAAAAATAAACAAATAACTGGATTCTTACACTCTAAGTAGTTTAATTTAGTTTATTTCTATCATACAAAAGTAATAATAAATAATAATACGTAATTGATTACTGCGTAATAGAGTTCATCGAAAAGAACAACAACAAACAACTAGGATTTGCAAGCGGGAGCACAAAATCTGCTAAACAGTTAGCTGCTCTCGCCGTTGCTCTCACCGCTGCTCTCTCCGCTGCTCACCCCGATGCGAATGCAATTACCGTTATTTAATCATTTTTCGTATGTTCGCTTGCTGTCTGCTAAGCGCAGAAACTTAGGTTATGTACAATAATATATGTATGTATGTATGTACATACATACTTATGTATATAGAATAAATAAATTTCCAGACTTACCCACACTTTCCAGCGATGAAAACACTTTCATTAACGCGCCTGCTGCTACAAATTTGGCATTTAAACACATGCATAAATACATATGTATGTATGTACATATGTATGTATGTATGCCTTTTTCATATTTCCACATAAAAAAAAGGCACAGCAAAAAAAATAAAATAATAATAAGCACTTAACCACTGCCCTCACACATCAGTATGAGGGGAAGAAAAAAGCACGAGAGACTTAATAAATGACTAATTAAATAATTAAAATAAATTAATTAGCATACTCAGTAACATTTTGGTATACTAAACACAATTTAAAAACAAAATTAAGAACAACGACACTCCAGCTTGAAAACGCGAACCGATTAGCCAGCACGATCGCTGCCTTCAAACTAATCCGTTTGCCGAAGCACTCGCTCTCTGCCAGGGCCGCTAGGTCTGCGCTCTTTCTTGGGTTCGGGTTCAAAGTCCAACGCTGATACATATGTACATACGTATGCATGCATATATATGTATGTATGTACATATGTGTTTCAGGAAACAAGTGGAGAAGCTAAAGTGGGGTGTTCGGACATTGAAATACTCTGCACATGTGTGTAGAATAATTATAAAAATGTTAAACAAATATTTCTATTGATTTTACCTCCATCTGGTAACTTGTTACTTATAATTGATTACTCTATATATGTATGTATGTATGTCATATTTTCTGGATGATATTGTTGAATTATAAGTTTTGCAGCCGCAGCTCAACTCAAAGTAGGCGAACATGCTTTTCATAGAACGCAATCACAACCGCTGGATATTTCTTGTTCATGATTTCGGCTGGCACCGCCTCCAAGGTTTGGCAGCCCTTCCAGCGGACAAGAAACCAAAGCTCATTCTTTCCGCACTTTTCCACACCTGTGATGCACTCGGGCACCAATCCGACGTCCCAACCGAAGATAACGTCTCCTTTGCGGCTTAGACGCACGCCCATTACAGATTCCTCTGCCATATCTATAAGTGGTGCAGGTTTTGGACTCCAATGGAACTCATATTAGAAGTGATTCCATTATTTTCTTTTACCTCAAAGCTCACGCACAATTTTTAGTGCAGTGGGAATTCACAATTTTGCAGCTCTACGGTAGATAACTGACTATCGATAACATTGTATCGCCTTTTTTATCATAGCAAAAAGGGGTACCACTTGAAAGTATTTATTATGACCTATACCCAAAGGGTAAACACCTAATTCTGTTTTTACACGGTAGATTGGTTCCAGTAAAAGTCGTGTAACAAACCGTGTAAAAAAAGAAATTGATCATATGGTTTTTCGAAATACATATGTATATAAGATTTTTAATTTAAATTAAAAAACAATTAGGTTTACTAGTGTAGTTTATATAGCTATATTCTTAAATAGACTGACAAGACTAGTCGACATTGTCTGTATGAGCGCAAGGATCTCAGCAAGTACCAGAGCTAGAATAATCAAAGTTGGTATCCAGGTTCCCCTAGTCCCTAGGCAGATCAAGTTTATGTTTTTATGACAATGAGTCAGATGGGTTCGAGTTGCTGTCGAAGATGAAAGAACTATTGGACATCGTATGTATCAAATAATTTGATAAACCAGTAATATGTTCTTCTGTTTGGACTCCCAGGTCTCCAAAACCATTTGGACTAACATTTCGTAATGTTTTCCTGCGGGTCTGGTTGTAATTTACAGACTCTCCCACAATGATGGGAAAAATACAACCCGCAAGTGGGCTAAATTCAAAATAATGTAAGTAATTGGTAGAAGGATGGATAAAACCGACATTTTTTAATCAATTCGGAAGAGAGTGAATAACGAGTCACTGACCATGGAGCGTCTACAGTAATGAACGTTAAAGAGAAAGATCGAAGACTACAAAAGGGAGGGGAGACCTCTGTCTCCCATCAGATAAACAGCTTAAAGCGGCCTCCTCTTTTCTACTCGAGCCCTCACAATAACACACATCCTTATACAAGTACTGGCTCGAGGTCATTTACTATTTTTTGTCAGTATTCTCATAACATATGGGTGGTTCCTTCATAAATTGTCGGCGACTAGGTTAAATGTGGGCAGGGAATAATAATAAGCCGGAACTAAAAGAAGAAATAGCCACGAGTATCATCAACTAATACAGAGAAAGTTGAAAGTGTGCGAAGGAGTGTGCTGGTGCTGGCATTAAAATAAATAAAGGAAGTGAGTCCTCGGATCATTAGTGTACAAACGTAACAACTATGTATCTGAAGTGTATAATAACAGGCCTAAATAATTCAAATAACCAATTACGAGGCAAATGCACTGCATAACGACAAGCCAGGCGAAGACAATTGTTTAATGATCGACCAGGCTTCGTTCACGAGCCCAAAAAAGTATGCCAGACACACACACACACACACACACACACGCACACCAACACTCGTTTAAGGAGAGGCATAACAAAAAAGAATGCGACGACGTGTGGCAAACGCATTAAAAGCAACTTAATAATTCAGATAGAAATCACCAATCACCGCAGCCGACATGTTGACAAACGACACCGAGGACGCCGACGACACCAACAACAACAGCAACAGTAACAGCAACAACAACAACAGCAGCAGCAGCAATAGCAATAACACCAGCAAAGACACTGCCTTCGCCGTCGACAAGAGATTTAAATTTTCAAAATCGAATGTTGCGATGGCGGCAAAAGCCACCACAAAGCAAAAGACACGCGCAACCACAGAGCACAGAGAACAGAGAACAGAACAGCACAGAACAGAACAGAACAGAGCTGAGCATAATGAAATCCATGATAAACAAGATAAAAGCAACAGCGTCGAGTGGCGGCAAAGGAGAAGATGATGATGATGACGCCGAGGATGTCGACAAAGTCGGTGGCTAAAATATTTATATCTATTTCAGTTTGTCGCTGTATACAATTTCTCATTGAGCGCGACGCCCTTTGCAAGGCGTATCGGTTTGCCATCAAACAACAATAATAGCAACAACAACAACAACAATAACAACAACTATATACCATGACGGTGGCAACTGCTATGTTGACAGCAACCACCCAGCCACCCAAACGGCAATGGCTCAACTCAGATCCAGTTCGAGTTGTACAAGTACGCCGGTACAGTGGGTCGGAATTGAGGGCTTCAGGCCAAGTCAAAGATATTCCATTGTCAAATAATGGACAAGCAAATATTGGTGGATATATTATGAGAATCATTTCAAAAGCTATCGCTTTCTATTCTATTGTATCTCAAATCTCATACATGGGTAGTACTGTAACAAAATAAACTAAGAAATAGGTTAGTTATAACTAATTGGAAAATGTTCAAGTATTGATTCCAGCCGCAAAGAAAACCTCACTCAAGTGAGTCCAATTACAAATTATATTTTAAGCATTAGTATTATTTCTACAGTTCGGTCCAAATGTGTTTCAGAATAAAGTAGAAATGTGAAAATCTTTATGGTTGACCAGTTATCCATATTAGCAATTCCTTGCTGCTCCTCAAATAGCGTTGGTTTTGAAATTATTAACCAGTTTTCCAGTTTCTGTGCCGTTTCTTGAAAAATCTGCACTACTGTGCAGCGTTGGCTTTTGGCTTTGTGTAGTTGCTATTATTATTGTTGCTGTTGTCGTCGACGCCGCCTTCGATGTCTTCGTTTACAATCAATGAAAGATTTATGACAACACACATATGCATATATATATATATACATATATATTTACACACACACACAGAAAGAGAGAGAGAGAGAGAGAGAGGGAATCAGAAGCAACAAAACGCACACATTTTCGGTTTGTCGCTGTGCCAGCTGCTTTTTTATTCCACTTTTCTTCTTTATGTCACATCATTATTTTTATTATGACGCCATGTTGCTGCCTTGGGCCGTCCGTTATTTGAGAGTGATTAGTGACCGAAATTGACAACAATAATAATCATTTTGTTATGCATTAATTTGTGTGTATGCGAGTGTCACATGTCCTCCTCATAATGAGCGATGGCTCGGCCAGGATAATCAATATTGTGGACACAGAGTATTTGTTTACCTATGACGCCATTCGCCTTTGCACATTTTGCAGAACATTTACGGGTAGCTCGAGCTTAGGAAGAACACTTTTTGTTGCTACGCTCGACTCGGACTAAAGGACCAGATTTTAAAAGCTGATAGAAAGGATATGCGATTCATAAATGGACAACAAGAAGTTGCCGCCACAGACTGACTTAGAATAAATCAAAGAAGGGCAATCTGATAAGCAAGCGCTCAAGAAGACTTGCAGACTTGCAGAAAAACAATTGAGGGCATTCAATATCTAGAAGCCGAGATAAAGAGCTATAGCCACATACGAGTGTACCTCTTACTATAACGTATTTATGCATATTCATAGTAGAAGGGAGGTGGAAAGAAATTGAATTAAATAATAATTTGATTCATAATCAGCAAAGATGTTGGGCTAACATTTCTATTATCATCTACCAACATTTAAATTAACTTAAATTCTAAAGTTGTTTTAATATAGAAACGTTACTAGTTTTTCAGCCGATTGTTAACCTAAGAAACGTCTGTAGGTAACTCCCCGGGCCGAAAGATTTTGTTACTACAAGTAGATAGGCAAGTGTGGAGAGGTTATCTGTTGATTTGGTTTTGTAGGGCATTATTATTAGAAAATATTATAAATTTTATAAATTTTATACAGTCGCATATATTACCTATCAGTTTTTTAGATTGGCGCTTGTTTTTGAAAGCTTTCTCTTCACACTATTTACAATCGTTCTAGGAATTTAGAAATAGTACCCACTATAAAATTAAAATCTCGCTAAAGGTTACTTTTCAGCAATGAAGCAAAATAGATCGCTATTATAAGGAAAACCAAAACAGTCGAAAGCAAGGTGAGAGATCTCAGCAGAAGTTAGAAAGTGATGGAAAAATGGTATTTAGAGGAAAGCAATTACGGCCAGCAAACGTTTGCTATCCATGAAGCTCAAACTTAAATTACTTACGCGTAATAAAGTTTTAGCAAAGATGAACTAGGAACTAGATAAATGGCAGTCTTTGCTCTTTACTTGTATGCATATCTGTGTGTGTGTGTGTGTGTGTGTGTGTGTGTGTGTGTGTCACACGCAGCACTCACTGCTTGAACTTCATAAATATGCCAAAGGACTCTATCAAAATAAGCCAATGGCAACAAACGGCGAAGTTGAAGCTGTAGCTGAAGCTGAAGCTGTTAATGCTGAGGCCAGGGCAAGTAAATTGAGACACGACGGACACGTGAGTTTGATAGATTGAAGCATGTATGGAGAAGCATATATACACACACACACACACAACTACAAACCAATACACATGCTGTGCGAGAGAGCTGTTGCTGGCCAACGTTGTCCTCGTCCTCGTCCTCATCCTCAGTGTCCTTCTTGCCGTTATCTTGTGCTTGTGTGCGTATTTCATTAACGTCGCCTTTGAAAATCCATTCATTTATCAAAAGCAAACTTCAAACACGCATACATGCATAGCTGCGTGCGTGCGTGCGTGTGTGTGTGTGTGTGTGCGACAGATACTGCAACAATTTAGCAACGTCTGCTACCCACTGCGGAGTGGGACAGAGCACAGCACAGGACAGTCAACCATAGTGGTGTAGTCGTAAAAACGAAGCACTACCAGCCAAAGGATCAATGAAGTATGCCTAAGAATCTGTCATTTATGACACATGACATACTTTATGAGCCTAGCGGCGGCAATAGCGACGGAATAATAAACATAAGCCAACAGCAACTTGGCCGAATTGCAATTGAAAGTTTGTCCGTCTGTCCATCTGCTGTCGGCCGTCGACATCTTCCTTAAGATGCTCAGAAAGCTTTTACAAGCTTTTACAATATTTTGTAACTCTTCAAAATCTGCTCGTAAATCTCATAGACTGGCTTTAGAGTTTATGCCCAGCTCTTGTTATACACGCGCCCATATTGTATACGAATATATGTAAGTATGTATATATATA